GAGATGAATTCCTCCATTTTTTCCCACTAATAAAACTGAGGGCCAGTGAGAGATATATTACTTGCTAAGGTCTTGAGTCTAGAAAACCTTTGTCATTTTGTCATTCTCTACTTGCATAAAAATAGTCCCTAATTACTTCATGGAGCTTATAAAATAAAATAAGAACCCTGAGAGGCACAGACTCTGCTTTAGTTAAGACACGATTCTCCCTTCCACACTACTCTTCATCTACCAGAGATAATGGTTCCCAGCTTACCTCTTTCTCAAAATCCCATGGTCAGTTTTTCTTCCCTCATGGAAAGAACTTTGGACCTAAGAAGATCCAGTGTAATCTCAGCTCTACTGTGAGCTCACACTGCTTGCTCCAAGGCCTTTCTGGGGCCTGCTCCCTCTTCAGTATAATGAAGAGATTGCTTTAAACCCAAGAGTCTCAGCCTTTCATCTGTTGCTGAGTGACATGCTTGCCAGTATCTCAGTGATAACTTTACCCCTTCTCCTTCACTCAGGTCTCACTCTCAAATACAGGACTGGTGTGATGCTGTTTCAGGCATCACCTGATTCTTCTCAGAAATGCTGGGGGAATACGGCATGAAAAGTGTAAACTTTTTCTAGTAACAGATCACTTGCATACCTCTGTGTCTGCACCCAGGCTGCAGTTGGGAAGCCGCTCTGGAGCACCTCCTTCATTGCCACTATAGCCCCATCCCTCAGCCTGCACACTGCACCCAGTAGTAACAGGGAGTGCAGCAAATAAGTATTCTCTGGACCATTTGAATTCTAAAGAAACCTTGCTCTTTTGAGTTGGAAGCATCAGAAAATCTTTTTTAAACACACAAGAACTTAGGTTGGCAATGAAGTGTCTTTCTTCTGAGTCTCAGGTTTATTCCTCATCTCTCCATTGCGTATGTGACACTGGATCTGCACATTTCTAATCCGGTTTGAAAAATAAGCAGCTTGATGCCGGGCGGTGGTGGCACATGTCCTAGCACCTGGAAGGCAGAGGCAGGCGGTTCTCATTGTGTTTGAGGCCAGCCTGGTCTACACAGCGAGTTCCAGGACAGCCAGGGCTGTTAGACAGAGAAACCCTGTCTCAGGGGGGTTGGGGGGGGGAGCAGCCTACTTCTGCTAGAAAAACTAGGAGTAGCGCACTCCTGTCTCAAGCTTATAATGATCTTCTGGTTTTTGTTACTTATGGACTTATGACTATGCAGAGGTCAGATATTGTACTATTTCTAAGACCTCAGGTGAAGTGTTTAGATGCTGAGAATTTTTAGGGAAATAGGGCCTATGCCATGGAATCCACATCGGCTGTAGTTAGCTGAGTGCCTCGTCTTCTGTTTAGTCCTATAGCATTGTCACTACTGCCTGTGATGGCACATGGCTTTTTTTTTTTCTTTTTTGGGGAAGGGGAGTAGAGACAGGGTTTCTCTCTAGTCCTGGAACTTGCTCTGTAGACCAGGCTGACTTCTTTGTTCAAAGAGATCCACCTGCCTCTGCCTCCTCAGTGTTGTGATTAAAGGTATGTGTGCCACCACTCCCTGACTTTTTGCATTATCACTGAGGAAAATATTTGAAGATTTTAAGTAAGTACCTATATGACTTGCTTCCTGTTTCCGTGCCACTTTACCCTTTCCATAGAGATTTAGCAAGGCATCATGTGAGGGACACTGGAGAAGGTGTGAACTCCTCTATCTTTGGATTCACGGCTGTGTATTTAAATGCTTTGCTTTTTAGCTGTTTCTTTAAAAATGTTTCAGGGGAGGCAGAGGCAGGCAGATCTGTGAGTTCAAGGCCAGCCTGGTCTACAAAGCAGGTTCCAGATGAGCCAGGACTACAGTGAGGCCCTGTCTCAAGAAAAAAAAAAAACAAGATGTTGGGAGTAGGCTTAGTGGTTTAATAGCACTGGCTGCTCTTGCAGAAGACCATGTTTGATTCCCAGAACCCATATGGTAGCTCACAACCATCTGTAACTACAGTTCCAGGGAATCAGATGCCCTCTTCTGACCTCTGTGGACCAAGCATACATGTTCTGTGCATACATATATACAAGCAAAACACACACAAAATTTAAAAAGTAAATATTGTAGATGGTCTTTATCAACATCAAATCATGATAATTCTAACTGAAAACTAATGGAAGAATGAAATCTGCAACAAGTAATTAGATATATTATGTTGTGTTAGCAACTTCAGACCTGGTAAGAGTCATTGTTACAGCCAGGCAGAGGTAGGACACACTGTTAATCCCAGCACTGGGGGCACAGAGATGGGTGGATCTCTCTGAGTTCAAGGCCAGCCTGGTTTATAGAGCTACACAGAGAAACCATGGCTCGAAAAACAAAACAAAACAAAAAAAAAGTCATTGTTACCAAAGAAAGAAGCTTTAATAGTGTAAGATATTTGTGATATATACAAATGGATGCAGACAAATCAATAACTTTTCAAAGTTGGTGGTTCTGTGGTAGAATTTTGCATGCAAGAAAAAAAGATCTCTTTGAAATTGTTCAATAATAGAAAATAGAAAATATTGATATAATAACAGTTCATCTATCTTATTACTGGGCATGTTCATCAGTGCATTAACATGCTGGAGGCGGGGAATAAACCGTGGATGTGGGGGGGGGGTGAGCTTTGCTTAATTGTCGTTTATCTCAGAAGATTCTCTTATATTTTTGGTTGTGAACCTAGCTTTTAGCGACTGGGCCATCCCTCCAGCCCACTGAGAAGATTCTCAACCAGAATTTACTGATACTTTTAGAGTGTTGAGGAAACCCTTTGGTGTATAACAGTGCAGATTGCCCTAGGGATAAAATAGCAGATTATAGTGCCCTGTGTTTATCTGGCATTGAAAGCAGCTGCTTTATTTAGTAGTGTTTAGGACCATGTTGAAGAGCTGTACCCCTCTTCCCCCCCCCCCCCCCGCTCAGATATTGGTAAAGGACATAGCTGCCTTCGTTTCAAGGGAGGCCAAGGACTCTTCAGTGAGGGGTGAAGATGCTCATCAAGGGTGGGTGACCGGAGGAATGGAGGTGCAGGCGGCAGCAGTGACAACGGCAGGGTGGGAAGCTCTCTTATTTAAGGATTATTCAGCGGCCTTCGTTGGCTGCCTGCCTGGCCTTGTCTGCTAGGCCCCATTGGAAAGAGTCTAAAGGAACATCAAACTCAAGTCAGCAAGCTCTGCTGAATGCTGTGTGGTAGAGAAAGAACCCTAGTGAAAGTTGAAGGCTATGAGGAAAGGTAAAATCTCAGGGACTACAGATTCAACACAACGCCCATCAAAATCCTAGCAAAATTCTTCAAAGACCTCGAAAGAATGGTACTCAGCTTCATATGGAAAAGCAAAAAACTCAGGATAGCCAAAACAGTCTTGTACAATAAAAGAACTTCTGGAGGCATCACAATCCTTGACTTCAAACTCTACTACAGAGCTACAGTACTGAAAACAGCCTGGTATTGGCATAAGAACAGACAGGACCAATGGAACCAAAGAGAAGACCCGGATATCAATCTATACATCTTCGAGCACCTGATCTTTGTTAAAGAAGCAAAAAATATCAAATGGAAAAAAGAAAGCATATTTAACAAGTGGTGCTGGCATAACTGGATATCAACATGTAGAAGAATGAAAATAGACCCATATCTATCACCATGCACAAAACTCAAGTCCAAATGGATCAAAGACCTCTCAGCATAAAGCCAGCTACACTGAATCTTATAGAAGAGAAAGTGGGAAGTACACTTGAACGCATTGTCACAGGGTACCACTTCCTAAATATAACCCCAGCAGCACAGACACTGAGAGAAACAATTAATAAATGGGACCTCCTGAAACTGAAAAGCTTCTGTAAAGCAAAGGACACGGTCAACAAGATAAAACGGCAGCCTACAGAATGGAAAAAGATCTTCACCAACCCCACATCAGGCAGAGGTCTGATCTCCAAAATATACAAAGAACTCAAGAAATTGGACACCAAAAGATCACATAATTCAATTAAAAATGGAGTACAGACCTAAACAGAGAACTCTCAACAGAGGAATCTAAAATGACTGAAAAACACTTAAGGAAATGTTCAACATCCTTAGTCATCAGAGAAATGCAAATCAAAACAACTCTGAGATTCCATCTTACACCTGTAAGAATGGCCAAGATCAAAGACACTGATGACAACTTATGCTGGAGATGTTATGGGGAAAAGGGAACACTTCTGCATTGCTGGTGGGAATGTAAGCTGTTACAACCCCTTTGGATGTCAGTGTGGCGATTTCTCAGAAAATTAGGAAACAACCTTCCTCAAGACCCAGTAATACCACGTTTGGGTATATATCCAAAGAATGCTCAATCATGCCACAAGGACATGTACTCAACTATGTTCATAGCATCTTTGTTTGCCATAGCCAGAACCTGGAAACAACCTAAATACCCCTTGACCAAAGAATGGATAAGGAAAATGTGGTACATTTATACAATGGAGTACTACATAGCAGAAAAATATAGCAACATCTTGAATTTTGCAGGCAAATGGATGGAACTAGAAAACATTATTTTGAGTGACACAAAAAGACAATTATCACAGGTACTCACTCATAGGTGGTTTTTAAACATAAAACAAAGAAAGCCAGCCTACAAACCACAATCCCAGAGAACTTAGACAACAATGTGGACACTAACAGAGACTTGCATAGATCTAATCTACATGGGAAGTAGAAAATATAAAAAGACAAGATCTCCTGAGTAAATTGGGAACATGGGGACCTTGGAGGAGGGTTGAAGGGGAGAGGAGAGGCAAAGAGGGGAGCAGAGAAAAATGTAGAGCTCATTAAATATCAATAAAATTTTAAAAAAGGAAAAATATCTCAGGAATTAGTGAAGGAAAAACTGGTTTGGCTCTGTCCACATTGTCTCTGTCCAACCCTACACAGTTGCTGAGGTTGAGCATGTCCACACGGACTGGATATCTGGATTTGGAGAAGATACTTCATGCTGTTTTCCTCTCTTTCAGGTTTCAAGTGCCCCATTTGCTCCAAGTCTGTGGCTTCTGATGAGATGGAAATGCACTTTATAATGTGTCTGAGCAAGCCTCGCCTCTCCTACAATGGTAAGGGCTGTCTATCTAGTCTGCTTCCTGATGTCAAGATAAGTTGGACACTGTCGGGGGGCTTAGCCTCCAAGTGAGGGGACTCTATAGTTTTCTTTCAGCACGGATATCTATGTAGTAGTGGGGAACCTGCTATTTCAGGAGCCTTGGTTATAAGTTGGGGTGCTGAGGAGTTGCCCAGGAAGCCAGGTCCCTCGGGGCTATAGTGGTGAGAAGGTAGATGTAGCATGAATAATAAAAACCCAGAGACAGATATTGGGGTTCAAGCTAAAGAACAGGAAAGCAGAGCGGCCAGCCACTGGCTCTTACCTCTACCTCAGACTGAAATGGGCGATCCTGCCTCCATGAATCTTCAGAATGAGACTGAGTGTAAGAGCTGGTTCCTCCCATTTCATATTCCTCTCTTGTGCTGGGATTAAAGGCGTGCACCACCACCGCCCAGTTTCTGTGGCTATCTATTGTGGCTGCTGGGATTAAAGGTGTGTGCCACTACTGCCAGGCCTGTATGACTGGCTAGTGTAGCTGCTTTGCATTCTGGTCTTCAGGTAAGCTCTATTTATTAAAACACAAAAAATATGCTATATTATATATTATAATATATAATATAGAATGCTCTCAGCATTTTTTGAGGATTGTGTTTCTCCTCAAAAAATGTTAAGGACTGGAGCTATAGCTCAGTGGTAGAATGGTTGCCAGGCATGAACAAGGCCCTGGGTTCATGGGGTTTTAGCACTCCCACCCCATTATAGTTTGTCAATTTTAGATTTTTCAACAAGATTTTGTTCTTATAAGAACTTGCTGGCCAAAGGATGGCACGTTATATGTCTTGGCACATGCAGCCTGAAGACCTCTGGATATTCCAGAAGGTCAGCTCCAAGGCAGGCTGTGGCCCTGTGTTTCTCTGTGACAGCCCTGTTCCTGGGTCTGTTTCTTTAACCTTCCCCTGCTCAAGCTCAGCTTTGTCCCTGTTACCCATCTCCGCCTGGGACCATGGAGGGAGAGGACCTTCCCCCCATATCTCATAGTGTGCTGCAGTCATGGCCTCAAGGACTGTATTCACTTCTGTCCTACATGTGTCGAGACCTTATGAAGACTATTTTGTCCTGTGACAAAAAAAAAAAAATGAGATCTCTCTGTAGACACTGCCTTTGCTGTCATAGGACAAAGAAGCTTCACAGGGGTGTTGGCCTGAGGGAACTTGGCTTTTAGAGTCATTGAGAACTTTGTAATAAAGTCTGTGGCAGACAAAGTGCTGTCAGGACTACATAAAACAAACTCACCTCACATACTCATGTGGTCTCCAGATTACTTCCCAGAGTACCCAGCTCTTTCTGTACCATCACTGAGTGACTGGTGCTGCTGGTCTGTCCTCACCAGCAGCCGAGGAAGCCCCTTAGAGCAGTGGTTTTCAACCTTCCTAGTGTTGCCATATTTTTGTTTCTACCTTATAACTGTAATTTTGATACTGTTAAGAATCATAATGTAAATGTCTGATATGTAGGATATCTGCTATGTGAAAGGGTCTTTGGGCCCATGTGTTGAAAACCATTGCCTTAGAGGAACGGAAGAATGGCCATCTGAGACAGAGCCACTGTGGTTCTCCCTCTGATCCTTGGTTTTCCTTTATCCTTTACATGAAAAGCCACGTCCCCCTGTCTGTAAGATACAGGCAGTTCAGGGTTGTCTCGTAGGAGCCAGTCTTTTCCCACCAGAGACAGGGCGGACGGACACTCCAGCCTGTGAGTAGAGTTTATCCTGTGCACAGGACGGATGGAGAAAGGAGGCTGTGGCAGCGTGAGCATGTCACGTTCAGTCATCATTTTTGTTCATTTTAGTCTTCATTTTGTTCATGTAAGAGAACAGTGTTTGGGGCTGGGTGTGGTGGCTCTCACCTTTAATCCCAGCACTCTGGAGGCAGATGCAGGCGGATCTCTGGGTTCCAGGACAGTCAAGGATACACAAATAAGCAGTTGGGCGCTTGGGGGGGCAGTGTTTGCTACCTGGGTTTGTGTATGACTGGAACCCCTAGTAAATGTTTTGCATTCAGACAAAACATGAATTCTTGGGTCCTTAGACCAAAGCTTCCAAGGCAAGGACTCTGGATTGATTTTACTGGTAACATATTCTACCTAGTTTTTCATCACCCCGCTCTCACATACTTTACCTTATCTACTTTAACCAAAAAAAAAAAAAAGGGGGTCCAAAAAGATGGTTCAGCAGTTAGGAGCTTGGCTGCTTTTCCAGGGGACCTGAATTCAATTCCCAGGACTCATGTGCCCACTCATAGACATCTGTAACTCCAGCTCCAGAGGATCTAATGGCTTCTCATTCCCACAAGCACCAGGAACACCTGTGGTACATAGATGTACATACAGGTAAAACACCTATATACTTGATTAAATCTTTAGGATACAAGTTCTAAAAGAAAAAAGGAGGGAATCTGTGGCTGTAAGCCATGAGCTTGTGCTCTCTCTGGAAAGGGGCAATGTGAAGCTTTCTTCAGTGCTGGTGAAGTTGTTTTCTCATCTGCAGTGACTGGAGGGACTGCAGAGCTAGCTTAGTGGTTAAGAGCACTTGTTCTTGGCAAAGGACCAGGCTTGCTTCTCAGCATTCACGTGGAGGTTCACCACTTCCTTGGACACCAGGCACACATGTGGTGCATAGACATACATGCTCGTAAAACACTTACACAAAATAATAAAATAAATATTTTTTTAAAAATGTTAGTAACTAGAGGGCTGAGAATGCAGCTCAGGGGTAGAGTGCATGCCTGTGGTGTGTGAGGCTCTGTGTTTCATTTTCAGAAGTAAGAAAGGCAGAGTGGGGAGACAGAGAGGGAGAGTAAGCACCGTGAACTGGAAAGCAAGCCCTGGAGCCTCCTGGTCACTGACCTGGAGACCAAAAATACATAGACATTCACTCACACCTTCCACTGTTGCAGGCACAATTGAGGAAATTTCTATAAAATTTATGATAGTTATGGAAGATGAAATTTAGTTAACTACCAAAGAAAAAGAGTAGAGCCTCCTAAATGAGGCAGATAGAAAGTAGTATTTTTCTTATTATGAGGTTTGGCCCAAGTGGAGGGTTGGAAGGCCTCCAGTAGTTGCCTGACAGATTATTTTTTAAAATTTAGGGAAAGCAAGACCAGTTTTACTGGTCCAACCAGTGCTCAGAGAAAAAGAAAACTGGCACCTAGTGCTGCTAGGGCAAGGACTCAGCCGGGGAGTCCCTGCTGGGGGGACAAGGGGGCCAAATCGCAAGCAGCAACCATCAGTATTCTTACCCTTCCGGGTCTTCCTGGGGCAGCCCTGGAACCTAGGACTCCTAGAAGCTGAGGAAGTTACAGAGAAGAGAGGAAGGAGTCTCTAGGTAAACTTGATTGCCTTCAATACCTAGGTCTTTCCTTTCCTAAACTCTCTGGCCGTCATACTGCCCAGATAGCAATACAGAAGCTCCTGAGTTGGAGGTATGACTTTTCTTTAGCAGAAGATCATTGTGGTGGAGGCGCACACCTTTAATCCCAGCACTCAGGAGGCTGAGGCAGGCAGATCCTAAGTTTGAAGTCAGCCTGGTCTATAGAGTGAGTTCCAGAACAGCCAGGGCTGCACAGAGAAACCCTTGTCTTGACAAACCAAACAAACACAGATTAGAAAGAAAATGAAAGAAGGATGAAAAGGAAAGGAAGGAAGAACAAAGGAAGACAGAAGAAGGGATATTCTGGTGAGACAGGTGTTTTGCTACAGTGTCATGGTCATGGCAACCAGTATGCTGCTTCGGTAGACCCCCGTAGTGCAGGCCCATGCCTGGCTTCTTGCTTTATGATGTTCTCCTCCTTCTTTACCAAGAGGTATTACCCTATCTTCAGAACTCTGAAAATGCTTTTGTGTGAGCTCACTTTCTTTCAGCCTTCCTCCTTTCCTTTCTGTGTCCTGTGTGTCCATGCTCACATGTGGGAGGATACTGTTGCATTCAAGTGGAGGCCAGAAGACAACATAGTGAGGACTTTTTTTAGATTACTTTTTTAATTTTATGTGTATGGATGTTTTACCTGCATGTGTGTATGTACACCATACATGCCTCTGTGCCTTTAGAGGTCAGAATAAGGTATCCTATCCCCTGGAACTGGAGTTATGGGTGTTGTGAACCTCTAGGTGGGTACTGGGAACTGAACCCAGGTCTTCTGCATTAGCAGCAAGTGCACTTAACTGCTGAGCCCTCTCTCCAGTCCTCTCTTCTTATTCTTTGAGATGAGGTCTCTCGCTGAACCTGGAGCTCACGGATTTGGCTAGGCTGACAGGCTAGTGAACTCTAGGGATCCTGTCTCTGCCTTTTCAGTGCTAGAATTAGAGACACATGCCAACATGTTAGGTTTTTAGATAGGTGCTGGTAATTTGAACACATATTGTGCCTGAGTGGAGGGTACTTTACCAACTGAGTCATCTCCCCAGCCCACAGAAGCTCTGAGAGGCTAGAGGAGAGGACACTGCATGGAGAAGCTGAAAACTGCTCTGTGACTATGAAACATCTTGGGCCTTTGCTTTATTTAGTTGGCTTTATCCCTCTGGGTATCCTCATTGCAGCCAAATTTGTCAAAACATTAGATTGCACCTCATAAAATCCAAGGGCATTGGGACAGGGCACTTCTGCTGTTAGGAGACACTCTGCTTAAGATCTGTGTCTGGAGAGTAGGACACTCCAGCGTTACTAGGAAAGGAGTCTGAGATACCGTGTCCTGTCTGCCAACCCACTGGGCCAGCGGCAGCTCTGTACTCGCCAAAGATGCTGTAAGACCAGACACTCATCTGTGCCTAAGCTACACCTTCTACTAGGAGTTTTCCCTTTGGCTTCCATCCTCCTGACTGACATGCCACAGGGGCACCTATAGATGCACGCCCTTGCAATTAGCCAACTCTGAGCTTCACCTCAGCCTTCTGTCCCAAGCCCCATGCCACCAAGAGTTCTGGAGCCCCTTGGTGAGTGCCTTGCCAGAATACTCCATGGGTCAGCTAAGTCCTGCCCTATCCATTGTGAACACCTGGGGACCCCCATACACCTCACAGAAAACTTTAGCTCACTGTGAGATGGGTAGTGTTTTTAAGCCACAAGGGAATTTTCTTGTGTGGCCTGAATCTATCTATCTTTATCTATCTATCTATCTATCTATCTATCTATCTATCTATCTATCTATCTATCTAT